TCCTATTTTCTGTAATACTAGCTTACTAATCGTTAATTACTAATGCTATGACTCATAATGACTAATCCTATGAGTCACTATTACAAATAATTGAATTAATAATTAAGAGTAAATAATTATGTCATAAAATAAGTTAAAAATAGAAATGATGTAATGTGTAACATGACGCAGTATATGGCGTAGTTGTTACACAAAATATTAAGATAAAAATAGAAAATGATGTCATTATCACGTGTCTGCCGCAGTAAGCTGGTTTCGATTGATCGACATGCTCGGGACTTCCCCAGTCCTTATTTACAATCTCACAATAGTATTGGGGTGTTAATATTTTCTGAACACTTACCAATATATAAGATGAGAACATAAATAACCTTATTTATCAGAAGTAAGGCAATTACTACTTATATATTATTTCATTAACTCTCTTTTACAAATTACTAATTTACTGTATTTTTGTTCAGAAAATTATTTATTAGTGATTTTAATAAAAAATTTTATAAATGCTATATAATTGGTTGATGTTAATTAATTTTTCCCACACTTTTCACTTTTTAAAAAAATTTGAATTTTTCTTTTCACATATATTTTTAAAAAGTATTTTATTATATATCATTTTAAATTCAATTATAATATGTCTATTCAAAACAATTCAATAATTAATTTGGATGATCAAGGAGATGAAGAAGATGAAGAGGTTAATGCTGAAGATTATTCACACGAGTCAAGCCTTCTTCCTTCTAACAAAAAAAAATCATTCAGAACTGGTAGAAAATTTTCTAATATTTGGAAATATTTCAAAGCTGGGAATCAAGTTGGACGTGGCCATTATCAAGCTACTTGCAATTTTTGTAACAAATTTTGGAGCAGTGGTAAACCTAAACGAATGACTGCACACATTTGTAATAGTTGTCCTAAAGTCAATAATGACATTCGCAAAGCTATATTAGGAGAATTTGTAAAAGAATATGGAGATGTACCTTCAAATGAAAGTGATGATGATACAGAAATAGAAAGAACAAATATAAAAAGACCTAGGCTTGATAATACTTTAGATAGCTTTTTCAATAGTATCAATTTACCAAAAGGCCGAAAAAAAGCAATTGATAATGCAGTGTTAAGAGCTTTCGTTATGTGTGGTATACCATTTTCTGCAATTGAAAATCCTTTTTTCATCGAATTATTAAAGCAACTCAATTCTCCTTATAATCCTCCATCTTCCGAAACTTTATCTGGTGCTTTCTTAGATGTTGAAGTTGCAAAAATAAATCTAAGAGTTGAAGGAGAATTGGAGAGGAGCAAAAACCTTACTTTAAGTATGCACTTAATATATGGATATTTTTAGCTGATATACTGTAATATATTTAATTGTTAATAATTAACTTTAATTATAGCCTTTGATGGTTGGTCAAACCTGAATGGCTTATCTGTTTGGAGTTTTATTGTTACTACGTCAGATAGAAAAGAATACTTGTACAAACTTGAAGATATGTCATCTGAAAGGCATACAGGTGAATATCTTGCAGAAAGAATTAGTAATGTTATTGAAAAAATTGGCCCACGGAAATTTGTTGCTATTGTTTCTGATTCGGGTTCCAATGTTAACTTGGCAAGATCAATGGTAAAAGATAAATACAAACACCTTTTCAATCTAAAATGTATCAACCATTGCCTAAACCTTATTTCGAAGGACATCATCAAACATCAATTTGCAGAAAGACTAATTAAAAGGGCTAATATTGTTACTAAATTTTTTAAGAAATCTCATATTGCACATAATCGTCTCAATAATCTTATAGAGCAAAAATCTATAGGTGGTGGTTACTTAAAATCTTATGTTACAACAAGATGGATCACAGTGCATGAAGCAGTGGCATCAATAGTCTGGTTAAAATCTTGTTTACGAGAAGTAAAATTATTTTTTTTTATTTTTTTTTTAATTCAATTTTCTTTTATATGTAAGGTAACTAATTTATTGTTTTTTTGAAAAGTTAATTGAGTTTCATTCAGATGAAATCTCTAGTGATGTGGTTAAAAAAATTTTGCAACGTCGTGGTTTTTTTGATGACAGAATTAGTAATGTTATTGAAAAAATTGGCCCACGGAAATTTGTTGCTATTGTTTCTGATTCGGGTTCCAATGTTAACTTGGCAAGATCAATGGTAAAAGATAAATACAAACACCTTTTCAATCTAAAATGTATCAACCATTGCCTAAACCTTATTTCGAAGGACATCATCAAACATCAATTTGCAGAAAGACTAATTAAAAGGGCTAATATTGTTACTAAATTTTTTAAGAAATCTCATATTGCACATAATCGTCTCAATAATCTTATAGAGCAAAAATCTATAGGTGGTGGTTACTTAAAATCTTATGTTACAACAAGATGGATCACAGTGCATGAAGCAGTGGCATCAATAGTCTGGTTAAAATCTTGTTTACGAGAAGTAAAATTATTTTTTTTTATTTTTTTTTTAATTCAATTTTCTTTTATATGTAAGGTAACTAATTTATTGTTTTTTTGAAAAGTTAATTGAGTTTCATTCAGATGAAATCTCTAGTGATGTGGTTAAAAAAATTTTGCAACGTCGTGGTTTTTTTGATGACATGGAAGCACTTGCCCAAATACTTAAACCAATCCGAACTGCAATACAAGAATTAGAAACCACATCCATCACTTTAGCAGACTGCTATATTCATCTTATAAAGATTGCTGCTGCTTTTAAGGGATTACCTCTTGAAGACTACCGAAGTTTTAGAAATTGTTGTGTAGAAACATTTAAATAAATATAATTTTTATTAATTACAACTATTTCATTAGGTTTGAGATGTTTATGGATGATACATATCTTCTTTCATTTTATCTTCATCCTCAGTACAAAGGTATACTGTTTTGTTATTTATTATTTAATATAATTATTTATTATTTAATAATTAAACCTCTAATTTTTACTGCATTATTAAAAAAATTAAGGGATTGGTGTTAATAAAAAATATTTTCCAAAAATTTTAACTCATGCTGCTAATATTTGGAGAGACCTTGGGCACAAACAAGAGTCATGTAAAGAATTGCTTGGTCAGTTACGTAAATATCATCTTCAAATCGAACCTTACAATACATTATATTCAACAAATATTGATACACCATACTCTTGGTGGATCACATGCAATGATACAACAAATCACCTCAAGTCTCTTGCTTTAAAACTTTTTTCAATAACACCTAATTCCGTAGGTTGTGAACGTATGTTCTCTGCTTTAGGCTGGTTCTATGGCAAACGTCACAATTGCTTGTCCCTGGAAAAAGTAGAATCAATGGCAAAGATTAATAGGTACTATCTTACGAATGCTAAAAAAGAACTAGGGTTTGTTGCTAAAAATAAAAGCGAAGATGATGTTCGTAGCTGGATAAATTTTGTATATGATAATTTAGAAGAAGAAGAAGAAGAGATGGTGGAGGAGGAAGATGTTTCTATTGAACTATCTACTGAAAATGATGATGAACTACAACTGACTGATGACATACAATTAGAATTGGAACAACTGCTTTCAATAAGCCAAGTGGTTGTTGTTATAAATAATGAAAACATTGATGAACATTGTCAAGAAGAAGTCACTAGTGATTCAACTAATAATGAGGAAGATTATGATCCTGCAGAGCTGGCTTCAGGTTATCTTAGTGATTTTGAATAGTAAAAAAAATTGATATTGTATTATGATTTTTAATCATGAAATATTTTAATAGTAGTATAGTGCAGGACACCTAGTCCCGCAACTTTTCATTGGTATTGTAGATCCTTTACTACTCCAAAAATGGAAATGTAATACCAAAAAAACAAATCATAGAATTAAAGCTAAGACCTTTCTCTACAATCTAATGATTTCATTTTGTTGATACATCACGTTACCATGAAGAAACTGAGCCTCAAAGTTGCACAAGTTTACTATGTTAACCCCAAAACTGTCGTGTTACACACGATTTTTTTATATTAAAAATGAACGAATTGGAGGAATTGAAATTTTTGAAATTTTGTGTGGCCGATCATCTATCACGTGACAATAATACCGAATATAACGAATAGAAAAAACTTATTTTTTAACATTCAATTCTATCAAACTCGCCTATACAACTGATAAACGTCCACTTGTGGACCAAAAATCAAAAAAAAGTGTATCAGTTTTGCTATTCTTTAATAAAATAGACTATTTTTGTGGCCAAATGATCCATTGATTGAGTAGTCTAATAAATTACTACAAAAATATAAAGTGGACCAAAAATAATGTGTATCGGTTAATAAAATAACTATTTTGTTATCAAATGGTGCATTGATCAAATGGTCTAATAAATTACTACAAAAACGTATAAATCGCAAAAAAAAAAGTGTTTGTTTTGCTTTTTACATCACATTCAAATTTGAGGGTTGAGACACTTGACTTCACACATTACATTCAAATGAAAAGGTTGAAACATGTAGTGCCAAAATGGTGTTCTATATTTATTTGTTTATATATTTATTTAACTTTTAAAAATTATATAAAAATTCAGATTGGAATTTGAATTGAACCAATTAATTGTCCAGAATTAAAAATTAGTTTTTTTGCTCTTATGGTAATCTACCATAATTTAGCATACATATATACAAAGAAAACCATCTGAAGCAAGATGTTTGTTACTAAATTGAGGTTTTAATGCCAAAAAAATTAAAATACTTTTTTTTCTTAATTTATCTAATGCAATAATCAAATTAGAATTCCATTTTTGGTTAATAAATTATTTATAATGCGCAACTTAATTAATTGATACATATTTCAGGAATAACTAATTATAAATAATACAATGCAAAAACAGTGAAGATTTGCTTGTTTGTTTATTTAAAGATGAGTTTAATAATACATCAAATGTAAACCTGATTTTATCATCTATTTTTATCAATGCTTCATGTTTAAAGAAAAAAGAGAAATAATAAATCATATATAATCATTTGTTCATTTTTTAGAGATGTCAAATTAAATGTAAAGCAAAGTTTTTATCATCTATTTTTATCAAGGCTTCATGATCCAAAGTAACCAAATCATATAAAATTTTTGAATATATAAATGAGATGTTTTTACCAAGTTATGCTATTAAAAAACTTAAATCAAATAATTAAAAAAATAATACCAAGTTATTATCCTGACATAAAAATCCAAATTTCCTAATTATTAAAAATCTAAATTTCTGATTTAACATTTTCCTACTATATTACTATATTACAATATTATTAAAATCTAAATAATTTACCTTAAAATGGGCAGACCTAACAAAAGACAAATTCATATCAAAAAACTGGCCCAAGATAAAAGAAGAAGCAGTGATCCAACATATGTAGATAATGTCAGTGATATTGAAATGGATGAAGGTCTGGATTCTGGATCTGAAATTGAAGTTGAAGTTGAATCTGAAATTGAAGTTGAAGTTGAATCTGAAATTGAAGTTGAAGTTGAATCTGAAATTGAAGTTGAAGTTGAATCTGAAATTGAAGTCGAAGTTGAATCTAAATCTGATTCTGAATCAAGTTCTGACAGTAATCTCTGGGAGGATGTGAATATAAATAAAGTTGAAAATTTTACCATTGTGCATGAAACTTCAACAAAAAGTAGAACCTCTTTTTATTCAGTAAGAACACAACAACGACATGCCAAGGTGTTGAGAGATGCTGCAATTGGATCTGCCAAGATTACTGATTTTTTTAATGTTAAAGCTTCCAGTGGAAATCAACTTGAAAGTAATGACGAGTCAGCAGATGATAATAATGATGTATCAGAAGGTGATGATGATCTTGGTGTCAGTCTTGAAGATGACTGGAAAAATGCAATAAAGTCTGTTGAACAAGCTCTGGAAAACCCTAATCTAGCCAATAATGTAAAATCTAGATTAATAGCAATTGAAATGTATTTTAGACATTTAGATGATGGTAGAAAAAAGGTTGATGCAAGTGAATTGGTAGCAATATCTCTAGGGTGGGCAAAAACTTATAAAGGGAGATGTATTAGATCTTGGGCTAAACAATGGATCCAAAATAGAACATTACCTGAATCAAAAAGAGGGAAACACCCAAAAATGAAAAGCCTTTGGAATCATGAAGATGTTGCTGCTCAAATAAGGAGTTATGCACGATCTAATAAAGTTGACATGACACCAAAAAAATTATGTGAACATGTTAATAATACAATATTGCCCAACATAGGAGTAGAAAATGAAAACAAAACAATATCTGAAAAAACAGCAAGAAGGTGGCTTAAAAAGTTGGGATGGGAGTATGATACTTATAAAAAAGGAATATATTTTGATGGTCATGAGAGAGATGATGTTGTGGCATATAGAAAGGAATTTTTAAAATTCATGAAAGAAGAATATGAGCCTTATGCTCCAAGGTTTGAGGGTGATGATTTGGAAAATAGAATTAATCCTGTATTAGAAGATGGTGTTAAGATGAAAATTTTGGTGACACATGATGAATCAACTTTCTATTCAAATGAGGGTAAAAGTATGGGTTGGAAAATATTTGGTGAAGAACCATTAAAAAAAAAAGGAAAGGGAAGGGCTTATCATGTTAGTGGCTTTTTAACAGAAACAATTGGACCTTTGAAATTAAATGAAAGCCAAAAAAACCAGTTTCCTTACTTACATGAACATAGCTTCGAATATCTTCAGCCAGGATTAAATAATGATGGATGGTGGACAACAGAAAAATTAAAGGATCAAATAATAAATAAAGCAATTCCGATTTTTGAAGCAACACACAAGGATTGCATTGCATTATTTGCCTTTGATAATGCAACTTCACATGCTGCCTATGCTGATGATGCTTTAGTTGCATCCAAAGTAGGTTGGAATGATGGTGGAAAACAACCATATATGAGAGAGACTATGGTAAATGGTGTAACTCAACATATGGTTCATCCTAGTGGAATACAAAAAGGGATGAAAACAATATTAAAAGAAAGGAATTTGTGGAGAGAAGGATTGAGAAGAGTATGCTCAGAGTGTAAAACTAAAGCATCAAGGGAGCAAAATGAAAAAATAGACTGTTGTGGTTTGAAAATTCTGGAATTACAACCAGATTTCAAAGCACAAAAAGGAGTGATTCAAGAAGAAATTGAGAAAAAAGGTCATATGGTAATCTTCTACCCCAAGTTCCATTGTGAATTAAACTTTATTGAAATGTATTGGGGTGCAGC